AAACGCGAAGAAATCCCTAACAATACTATTATGGTTAGGGGTTTGGCACCACATATAACAGAGAAAGATGTAAATTATATACAATTCTATACATTATTTACAAATTAATATACATTTTATATTATTTGCAGATTGTGTCCAAATTATCAGACAATAATTTGGCCGCAAAAGACATACGTTTAATGAGAAAGAAAGAAACAGGTATTTAAATCTAAAGTCTTGTTTAACTCTGTGTTAATGAGTTATTAAAGTATTACTTATTGTGTTGCCATTATAGGAGTCTCGCGTGGATTTGCTTTCGTCGAGTTCACTAACATTGAAGACGCCATTCAATGGAAGGAATTAACTCAGGTTTCCATCATTTTCTTTATTATATGATATTCAATATCTTTAAACCAAAGCATTTATCAGTGTTTAAAGTGAGACAATTGATTGATTAAGTTTATGAATGACTTATAAATTTAGGGATATTTGTACTTCGATGAAGAATGCGAGGCATCCGTTCACTACAGTATTCCTAAAGACAATTTTAGTGGTGATAAAAATATTATGAAAAATGATTGGATGTGTTATAAGGTTTGTATCGTTAAATTCATTACAAAATCTCTAACTGTTTTGAACGCATTTCAGTGCGGAGTCAATAACTTTAAACGTCGTGAAGAATGCTTTAAGGTATGAATGAATTATCAAGAATTTAATGAACAATATATTAATTGATATATTTGTTATGAAAGTGTGGAACACCTAAAGACGAGTCGCTCGCAAATGAGACCGGAGATGAAGTCAGTTTGAGTCCAACAAATGGTCAGTTGATTGAAATGTTTGCGTTAAGCGATACTTACGATGAATTTATTTATAGCTCTGTTGTTAAGCAAACTATCGGCGAACACAACCGAAGAAAAAATTTTGACAATTTTGGGTTCAATCACTGCTTTACCCATAAAATCGATTCGTATTCTAAGAGATGAGTTGTATAACATATCTCGAGGCATGTGTTTAGTAGAATTGCACACAACTCTGGAGGCATCACAACTGTTTACATTACTTTCATCGATGAGTATGGGTTTTGTGATCGACGACAGTCCGGTTCAAGTGAATTATGGTAAACGAAACGCAACGATGGGTCAAATACAGACCAACTCGAACGCAGCGATCGTTGCGTTAGCGGCCGCGCAGTGGAAGAACTTAGACGACGACTCTAAAGGCATTGCATCGCATCCGAGCCATAACTCGAGTCGAGGCGCAGCCAATGGAGCCGACTATCAAAAGTACGAAACACCGGACGTCTCGTCCTTTCAATGGGACGAGTCTTCTGGTTATTATTACGACTCCACCACTGGTTTCTATTATGACTCGAAAACTCAATACTTCTATAATCCGGTATTTATTTATTATTTTTATTGTTTATCTTTCACTCAATTCTATAAAACTTACATTTAAATGAAAAATAAACATTTCGTATAAAAATTAACACATATTTACATAATATGTTGAGTATTTTTAGTTTATAAATAGAAATATTATTAGCATTTAATTATTTTTATATTTTTAATAGAATTATGTTTTGACATTTTATTCTCATTTAACAACTATTTTGCAATTTAAATGCATTAGAAGTGATAGTGATTGAGACCACACACCGGCATATCTGTCATATCAAACACTGAATTTATAAATATTATACATTGTTTTATTGAAATATGAATTACATTAATAGCAAAGCCAGCAATACATGTATTGGGAAGACTCTAAACAAACATATTTAGCAATTGAGTCAAAGAGTCAGACGAGTGAAGAGGAGAAGAAAGATAAACCAAAAGATGCGAAATCAGATAAAGTGAAAATCGCTAAAAAGATCGCTAAAGATATGGAGAAATGGGCCAAAACTCTGAACCAAAAGAAGGATACGTCTCGTACTTGGATTCCTAACGAACCGCTCGTTACTAGCGATAGTGTCCAAAGTTGTACGGCTGACGCGGGTTTCACAGTATTGGAACAGCAGGTGTCAAATGCCGAGACCGACACTTCTGTCTTCGACACATTCCCTAAACAAGTGATTCCTCACGAGTTGAAGGCAAACACAGATAATACGAATCACTTCTGTTTAAGTGCTTATGAAATCATAAGAGCAGAGGAGAAGCGGTTAACCGATTGG